TCTGGCGGCTTGCATTGGCATCACTCCCATAAAAGCCCTCATCATGGCACCAAAAAGGGGAAGAGGGTTTTTTTGCCAATTTTTGTTTTTGTAAATTAAATTTATTGAATAACATTGGTTAATAACATTATATAAATTTCAGGTGTACAACTTTATAATACGACATCTATGTTCACCATCTAAAGTCTTTTGAGTATGTCTATTTTAAATAGTCCTTCCAGCCCTGGCCAGTTTGGCTGAGCAATTAGAGCACCGGCCTGTGGACCAGAGAGTCACGGGTTCGATTGGGACCAAGGGCATGTACCTCAGTTGCAGTGTGTCCCCACCAGCCCTGGGCAGGGTCATGCGGGAGGCAACCAATCGATGTGTCTCTGTCATATCGATGTTTCTCTCTCTCTCTCTTTTTCTCCCCCTCCCTCCACTATCTGAAAATAAATGGAATCATGTCCTTGGGTGTTGATTTAAAATAATAATAAATAAATAGACCTTTCAGAATTAAGAAAATTACTATGGGGTGGGACCAGGGGCTCTTGGCCTCACTATGAGACAGACAGATTTAAGCAAAGTCTGGTTAAATTTGGTTGAATGATCTGTCTTCCATAAGCTCTTGCTCCAACTGTGGGACTGCAGTGGCAATTTAGCATCACCAGAAATTAGTTTATAGTCAGTAATCCAGTAATTATCCAAAAGTCAGATTATTTTCCTTTACCCAATATACAGTTCCCATCAGGAAGGACTAGAAGGTAGAATAACAATATGGGTTTTGGACAGTGTAGCAAAATCTTTCCTCAAAGGGATCTAGCCTGCTGTCTGTGGAATTTGATCTAGAATGCAATTCCTGGCTGTGGTGAGTCAAATCAGACTTCTGTTCACTAAGGCTAGACACTTAGTGCTTACACAAATATGAGACTTTAGTAAAATGTGTATCTGTTTCAGTCTTAGTACTCCACGACCAGTTAGGCAATATCAAAAATCTTTGCAGGTCAAACCATTCCCTCTACCTCTTGACTCTACTGCCATTTATGGTAACCATGCTCTTTTGGCCTTTGCAGTGAGTGAAATGCAGCTGTTTGGCTCTTGCCCTTATAGAATTCCATATTCTCATTAAATTCAGGAAGCCCAGCTCAGTGGCAGCATTTCCCAGTGTCATACCTGACATTCAGAGAATAGCCACTTGAGAGTTTTTTAAGATTCCAATGCTGCCTTCAACAGTGAATTTTTCTAAGACTTGGTGAGGGGAGAGCCCTCCTGCTACACTGAGGGGACATATGGAGCAGGTGGATGAACACATCTGTCACATTAAACCAGTCTCCCTGAACATGTATATACCTTCCTCTGTAGTACACTAGAGCAAGGAAGTTTTAGCATCTCGATTTCATTCAGTGTGGGCCACCATTGGGTCCAATGTTCAGGTAAATTGTTAGAATTACTCCCACACAAATTAGCTAACACTTTCCAGAATCTCTATTTAGTGAACCCATATCAAAAACATTTAGGCTAAGTCAACATTGTATTCCTTCCATCCCAACATAACCCTCTTAAGAAACATCTCTAAACATATACCTTGAGTTTCAGTAAATATGAATTAGTGAAATCTTGAAAATCCATGTTGTTACTCTTAAAATAGCAGTGAACCTTTTTAAGTGCTTATATGCTAAGCATTCTGTTAACCACTATATCTATTAAACCTTACAGAAATCTTGTAAGGTACCATTAATATCTTTACGTTATAGCTGAGCAATCTGAGGCTCAGAGAGTTTCCATAATATGCCCCAGAACACAATTTAGTTGAATGTAACAAAGTCACTAGAACTCCAAATTCTGTGCACTTAATTACCCTGATTGCCTCCCTTGTTCACTAATTTTGAAAATGTTTTATAATAGGTACAGAAGGATTTATAAGATCATCACAGGCTTTCTTTGTAATCAAAACTATCAAACTAATTTTGAAATTCTCTCATAATGTGATGAATCCCAGCTGCTAGTCTGGACATTGTACAGGTTTTCAGCTGAAAATATTTTCATGTATTTCATTCAGTAGGTTATTGGTACCATTTGGGGGGCACGGAGAATGGGGAAAGGAAACAAAGGGGAGGGAGGGAGAAAGGAAAGTTGAGAGAATGAGAAGAGAAGAAAATGAAGTTGATTCATATGTAGAAAGTTTTGCCTAGTGAACCATATTTAGTTCTACGTTTACAATTCTCATGGTTCAAAAGACTATAATTCTGGGTCCAGATACAAGGGGAAATGATACTTTCATAAAAATTTTCTGTGAAGGAAGGAAGCAGATGATTACCTGCGTAGTCAGGGCTGAGGAGTCCCAGGTAGCCACATTTCTGCCAGGTTGTCCCTGCAATTTTGTTCTTTATTTATTTATACTCTTTTTCACTCTAGAATGAAGGTATTGATAACAATAAAGTAGCAGACACCCTAAGTCAATATTTGTCTAATTACTCCCAGGTAAAATTTTGAAGAGTTAAAAAGAAAACAAATGGGTAATATGTAATCAAATAAATTCAGGAAATGCTAGAGTTAATAAAGCAGAACTTTTTAGTCTTCACTGTGAGTTTGTACATTAAAAATACCAGAAGAGAATATAGAGCTTGTCCTAACATTTTTGGCAGTGGAGTGAGTCCTTTTTCACTGAGCGTTGGATTATCAATTTCCAACCAGAGCAGAGCCCTTTTTAGGGCTCTGGGAGAGACAACAACCAGTATTACTTATTGAGCGAAAAGCTAGATGAGGGGATTTGGAGCTGAATCGCGTGGGGAAGAAAGCATCCAATAGGGCCCTCCTGTAACGTATCACCTAGTGTAGAGACTCATAAAAGTATGAAGGACATAATCAAACACAAGATAGTAATATGAGAGTATAAACAAACCACCCTTAGATTTCAAAGGAGGGAAGGAAAGCTCATTGCTACCAAGGAAAATATGCAAAGGTTTTGTGAAAGCGGCTGGGTATGAGCGACGACCCGGGAGGACGGTCACAGGTGAACAGCCCCGCTGTGAAGTGTCTTCCAGGCAGCACTGGCATAAGCAGAGCCACAGTTTGGGGGTGGGGTAGGTGAGGCTGCAGCAGCAGAGGGAGCAGAAAGATGTAGTTCTTGATTGTCAGTCATGTAGTCCACCTACAGGGGTCGTAGTGAGAAACAAGAGCTGATGGTTTGGGGGTGAGTGTGGACAAGGATGGTGGGGAAAGACAGAGAGACTGAGACTAAACTTGACTTGTAAAGGAAGGAGACCATACCCAGTCCTCTGGGCATCGAGAGCATGGAGGAGGAATCTGAAGGAAGGATGCCCAAGGAAACAAGTCTCATTTCACCCACCTCATACTTTGGCTAAGGAAAAGGCCTGGCCTAATCAATATATTTGGATCTAAGTTCTGTGTCTCCACTTGCCAATACAGAGAGCCAAAGAGAAGTTAGGTTCTTCTTGAAGATGTTTGTTATTCCCCAAAGAATCTTTCAGGAAAAGCAAACAGCCTGAGAAATAGTTGTTCATTAGATGTATTCTGGCAGCAACCAGAAAATTCCAGAAAGTACTCAGCACATGCACATATACACAATACACTCGATTCTTGAGACGCTTGTGATTTAACTGGTTATTATTGTAAGTACTTTGTCCAGTAAGTGTATTGATAAAACCACCCAAATGTATTTCAAATATTTTAAGAGTGATAAAGTTTGGGTCCAAAAAATTCTTATAGGAAGTTTCAACTGTTTAATCCAGTCTTACAACTATAAGGAGGGCAGATGGGTTATTTTTAACACCCTTGTGCTTATTGCTACAAAGAAGGTAAGTACTCTCCATTGTCTTGCTCAGTTCGATAACATCCTGGCTGCTGATTCCCATAAGCTCTGTGACACTCTTCTGAAATCTGCTGCTGATATGTTCCACATGTAACCCCACTCCCCCTGGAAGAGAAACCTTCCTGCTGAGTCAGATGGGCTTACAGAGGTGCAAACATAGCAAACTACTTATGTCGTTTAGAACTGCTGATGTGTCTATCCTTTGCCTTCTCACAAGTGGGAAGGTTTCCGCTTTCTCTAGAGGGAAGTCAGTACTTTCCCACTGAGAAGTATGAGTTGCCTTAGGCAGAATGGCTTCCGACGAGAGAGCTTATCTCCATTCAAGTCATCATCTCTTCCAGACTTAATACACTGTTCATAGCTTCACTCCCACCTTGGCTCCGGGCACAGCAGATGGGTTCATTTAGAACAGCTTGTCATCCAAACCCAGCAGCATGTCCTTTCTGATTCCAATGTACTGTGTAAACACCAAAACACTTCGTAGGAGTTTATACAGGTAGGAAGAGAGTCAAAAGGACCTCAGGTTGTGAATGGGTCAAGGCCGTATGTTGGGACACTAAATTACCATAGCAAACTGAGAAGCAAATTCTTAGAATGAAGCTGACAAGCTAAACACGGTTAGGTTTCACATGAGCCTGAAACTCTGGGAGTCAAAACAGGAGAAGAAACAAGATCTTGCGTATCACATGAGAGGCTGGTAGGCAGGGCCAAATCAGCCCGGTTGGCTCAGGAATGGTCAGTGAGAAAAAAAAACAAGTAATGTCTCTATAGGTGACTATCTCAAGTGCTCCAAATTATGAACTGTGATACTGAAATTCTGGCAGCCTTTCTCCAAAGAATAGTTCCTCTTTATTAAACTATTATTTCTGACCGTATGGAGAAGCATTAAGTGCTACACATATCCAATTTTGGCATCCTATTAATTTTAATGAGTGTAGCCCCATTCAAGTACCTTAAATGTGTGTGTGTGTGTGTGTGTGTGTGTGTGTGTGTGTGTGTGATGTGAAGGATTAGGCAGGGTGTGGCATTGTTCCTGTGTGTTAATGTGTCATTTTGAGCGTGCCATCCGAGTACAGCCGAGAGACCTGGTTTCAGATGCCAGTCGCAGAATCCTCAGACTGATTAATAATGGACGAGTCTGACGGACCAGCCTCACTGGCCTTTGTTTCCTGCCATAGAAGAACGAGACATGGATCTCTCTGCTTTGCCAAATAACAACCATCCTGACAAATTCCTACAGCTTGATGTGAAGTTGTTAATGAGGAACTCAGCCCTTCTGCAAGCCAGCCTGGCGAGGTTTCCGGGTGGGAGCTACCCCGCTGCACAGCACTGGCAAAACCTCGTCTACTCGCAGGTACCATCCCGGGCAGGAGAGGCCGGCGCGGGGCCCCCCTCTTTCTTGCTCTCGCCATTTTAGCATTTGCGGAAGGAAGGCTGCGGGGAACAGAGAACGAGGTAGCTTCCTCACTCTTGCCTTAGAGAAAGGGTCTTTCTCGCTTCTTTAACATGAGACTTTCTCTCATCACTTTATAAAAGATGTAAATTCTCCCACCCATTCATTCTCCTCCAAGCACTAGCTTCCCAGACAGGCTTCACTTTCGAGTTTGCTTGGCCCTCATTTTACTCCTCCCCCTCAGAACTTTTCAAACCAATTTGCAAATAAGGCTCTGGAGGGAAAACCTGCCTCAATTTTTTTGGTGTATTCTACGCCTGAAGCATCAGAAGCTTGAGGTGGGAGCTCATACACCTCGTTTAGACCAACTGCCTTTCATTTTATACAGCAGAGACTCAGAGGAGAAGAATGGACAGTTAATGATACAGAAGGAAAGAATATAGAAGGAACTCTCCAACTTGGAAAAGTGCTCACTGTTATTTTGGATACTCTTATTCTTCACAGGTGTCCATATGGACAGGACATGCCAATCAGATCTTCAGGCCTAATGCAGATTTGATTTCTTGCTTTATTCTTTCGCATCTTCCTTCTTTTTGCTGACCAGAGAGAATCAAGCTGTGATGAGTTCCATGTGCTGGAATAAACATAAAAGCCCTGACTGTTGCACAGCTCATGAAACAGGAATAATCTTTGTTTTAAGATGTGAGGGCTAATGGGGTTAAAGGTTAGTCCATTTAGAAACAGGAAGAAGCATTGCATTTCAGAACAGATGTGACTGACCCACAAACCCCTGCAAGTCATTAAATCCTTTGGAGTGGTTCAAATTCCCTGAACAGAAATTTGTTTTCTTTTAAGAAACAGTTGCTACTCGTGAGTCCTCATGTAAAGTGACTCCTTTGTGGTGCGTTTTGTGGGCTCCTTGGGACCTTTATCATGAGATCATTCAAAATCAAGTACACTCAAATGATTATGTTTCCTCCACCTCTAAGGGTTTTAATTTATTTCCATGGTAAGGCAGCTTATTATGACAACTGACTTTTCAAATTTTGCATCTTTCCTTCCGCCCATCATATGCACCTTTTTGGTTATTGTTTTTGTGTTTTGTTTAGTTTTAAGCTAAGTGCAATGAAATTCCTCCTTTTTCTTCCTTATTGTTTATATCATGGAATAAAATTATTCAAAAATCAGTTAAGAAAACCTTGGCTTTCCTTTGCTATGAAGTTAAGTCTAAGAAAACATATCCAATAAATTCCTTTGAGGTTGGAACACATACATCTAACATCTTTTGTTTGGTACTGGAGTTGACCTGTTTCCTTCATGTGGAACTTCACAGTTTCAAGCTCTGTTGAATGTTATTTCTAAACCTGAATGAAATGCAAAACTTTAAAGGGTATCTTTTTCCATAAGCTCGAATGGGTTGAAATAGTTTTTCAAGGAAAAACCAAGGAGGCAAAATCTGCTTCTTATGTCTTTGAATAAGTTATTGGTTATTGTAAAATGCAGACAAACTTGATTTTGTTATCCTTTTAACCTATAAAGAAATATTAAATGACTGGACACAGGCCAATTTACTATTGAAATAATACATGGGGGTGTAAATCTATGACAAATTCAGGTAGTTGGGTAGGTGTGGTATAAATTATGAGTAACAACAATTATATTCACTACTTCAGATTGCAATATATCAATAAGTAATTCTCCTGTCCTTGGCTGGATCTTGACATCTGAGAGTGATATATTCATTTGATAAAAAATAAATCTAAAATAAATGGACACATGAAAGTTTTAAGTAGCTGTAATGATACCTGGAAAAAGGTGCAGTATACACCAGTGTATTGAAGTGTTGGGGTATTGTCAAATGGTTCTTAATTTAAAGCCCTCACTGTATTGGGGAGGAAATTAGGACAATGGGCAGAACATTGAATAAAGAGGTTAGAAACTTGGTTTCTTGCATTCTAGCCACAGTAAGACAGTTTGAGGGATGTCTGTTTCGGCTGGCCTCTATTCAGTCCATGCCTCAATTTCTTTTCCCTTGTAAAATGAATATTATCCTAATTTCCCAAGTGAAAAGAAACAGGCATGGACTGAACAAGGGCTGTAACAGATACTTTCAAACTGTCTTATTCTGGATAAGACTCTTTTGTTCCTAAAGAGTAAGAACAAATAAAATATGACATAAAAACAATATGACTGAAAAAAAAGAGTTTCCTATACAAGTACAAGAAATATGCATTATTATTATTTTTATTATCATTATAATAATCATTTGCCAATATTCAGTTGGAAAACAGCAGATGATAACACCACTTACATTTTTTAATTCATACTGTGGATGGAGGGGTGTGTGGTGTGAGTGTGTGTGTGTGTGTGTGTGTGTAGATGGTGGTTTTGAAGGATATAGTCAATACATCTGTCAAGCTATGTGGCTAACTCAAGCAGTAGATTTTATACTCACCTGAAATCCAAACAAACTTCAGAGTTGTGTCAGCTTATACATTGGAGTCACACCACCCAGGTGTGTGATGTTTGGGACTCACAGAATGTCAAAGGACTTAACCTACAAACATTGCCTTCAGAATTACTGGTAACTCAACAAAGATCCCCTAGATACCAAATATGAAGTAGAATTCTTTTAAAAAATATATGTTTTTATTAATATTTTAGAGAGAGAGGGAAAGAAAGAGGGAGAGAGAGAGAGAGACATCTATGTGATTGAGAAACATTGATCAGCTGCCTCCTGCATGCCCCCTACTGGGGATTGAGCCTGTAACCCAGGCAGGTGCCCTGACTGAGAATCAAACCAGGGCTTCTCAGTCCATGGACTGATGCACAACCCACTGAGCCAGACCAGCTGCGCTGAAGTTGAATTCTTAATATATTTATCATATTTATATCTATGATTTATTTATATTTAAGCTTTTTAAAAATTTATATTTTACTTTCAGAGAAAAGTCCCCATGCCATTTTTATATGAGCTAAAGCAATACGGTGCATGAAGAAAAGTGAGCACCGAGGTTCTCAGGCACCCAATGGACACTGTCAACTCCCTCTGTGCAGGTCAATAGGCCACCTGTATGTGCAGAGTATGAGCAAATATTTCTTGAGTTTACTGTATTTATACTCCTTAAATTCTTTCACTGGAGAAATAAAGAAGCTTCACAACAAATTTCATCTCAGTGCAATGAGCAAACTTTCTCCAAAATCTAATGTTTCTGGTTGTTAAAATTATTTGGGGCATGTATCTGATACATGCATTTGGAATTGTATTCTGCATATTTCTGCCAATCCCTTTATAAAACAAGTAATGAAAAGAAAAGGCTGAATTTTTATTTAGTTTAAATGATAAAATATGTTTTTGCAGATATTGTGGTAGGCCTTTTTTTTTCTGATTAGTAGTTAGACTTCAGAATATTTTCTGACTAATCTCTTTGTTATAGCTTTCCCTGACTTCTATCACATCTATTTCAGAACCCAGGAACATTCCACACTAAACCTGTGAGCTGGAGCAAAAGACCGAGGGTAAGAGGCTCTTCTCCCCTTGACTTTTAGACAATGTTCTTTACTAGGTTTATTTCTTAATCACCTTTCCTGGCTTGGCTGTTGTATGCCTATGAAAAAGAAATGAATTTGGTGAGTATCTAGCCAGGCTCTGCCACAGTTGATCATTCTGGTAAACACATATACATATATGTATATATAATTCTTCCCTGCTGAATGGAAAAAGTGAAAGACACCGCAGTCACCATTCCAAAGTAATTCTGAGATCCCATTGGGAACAGTTTGTGTGGCCTTCTTCCTCGAAGGTGGGGAAGATTGATTGAGATGTTTCTGCTTTTTAGAAAACCTCCTGATGCCTTGTTCTCTATAGTCCTTGGTTCCACCATCTAGGAGACATTCCCCTTCTTCATTCTTTTTATCCATATCAGAAGTGGGCCCTCCTTCAAGCCTTTATAGAGTTCAAAGTTTAGTCCTACTCATGGATATTTGGAGGTCCAGGGTTATTGTTGTTTTGTTTTGTTTTTATTTTTAAACAATCAAAAACTTTTAGGTATAGGCTTGTGGTTTCTTATGTAAATACACATTTTACAAAAATTAGTAAGCTATTTGTTAATGTAATCCTGGCTTTTCTGCCTCCTTTTTTCTATCCTTTGACTCAAGGACAACCACTTGGAGGCTGTCAGGAATTATGAAATCACACCCTTAACATGATCTTTACCCTGAATCACTTCATTCAGCTGAGACATTTTAATGGGCTATTTTGGCTCAATGCTTTAAAAAAAAAAGTCTGTATCTCAGGGTTTGGGGTCTATAAACAATCAGGTGTTAAACAATAAAAGACATAAAATTTCTAAATTCTCTTTACTCTCTTTCATTTATTTTTGCATATTGTCTAGTTCTTTCTCTAATCTCATTTCTTTCTTGTATTACACCAATGTTCTGATTCTTGTAATATCATTATATGTACATGAATGCTCTGATAATTTCAAGTATTTCTCCTAGAGCTACAGATGATTAGATTCCAGTGGCCACAGATGATACTTTTACCAAATTATTTTCGTTGTAGGATGTGAATAGGCATACTTTCAGCTTCTGATACCACTTTACTCCTTTCCAGGACAGTACTTGACTGCTAAGCCAATGCCACACATTTGTGGACTTTCGAGATACCACTTGTGTGTTAGGGAGGGTAGACTAGGCTACACTATGATGATAAATACCCCCACAAACTATCAGTTACTATAAAGGAAAAAATTCCTGCTTATGAAAAGTCTGAGAAAGGGCAGGTATGTTTTAAGGGCAGCTCTTTTCCAAGCAGTAACCCAGAGCTTCAAGTTCTTTATATATTTTTTTAGCTCTGTCATCTCAGACCCTAGTTTACAGTGACACAACGGAGAGTGAGGAAAAGTGAGCCAAAAATTTTGTGGTAAATTTAAAGAGCTAGGCTTGAAAGTTGTCTCTGT